GCGGCGGTGCACGTTCACATCGATTGTATGAAACTTGCTCACGAAGTCGGCGTCCCTTGGGACCGTATGCCAGGACCGAACGGTACGGCGTGCGACATAGCTGCGCGTTTGGGCAATCTAGAGTGTCTGCGGTACGCTTCGGAGAACGGGTGCCCGTGGGACGAAACTACGTGCAGTGAAGCCGCGGCAGGTGGACATTTGGACTGCCTAGTTTACGCACGACAGAACGGCTGCCCTTGGGACGATGATACGTGCAGTGAAGCCGCGAAAGGTGGACATTTGGACTGCCTAGTTTACGCACGACAGAACGGCTGCCCTTGGGACGAAAATACGTGCAGCAGCGCCGCGTCCAAAGGTCATCTGGAGTGTCTGGTCTACGCACGACAGAACGGCTGCCCGTGGGACGAGTTTACGTGCTCCTTGTCCGCGATGAACGGTCACATGGAATGCTTGGTCTACGCACGGCAAAACGGTTGCCCTTGGGACAGGGGAACGTGCAGCAGCGCCGCGTCTGGTGGTTTCCTGGAGTGTCTGGTTTATGCAAGGGAAAACGGCTGTCCCTGGGACGAGGAAACATGCAGCAACGCCGCGCAGAACGGTCACCTTCAGTGTTTGGTGTACGCCAGAGAAAATGGTTGCCCATGGGATTTCAGTACGTGTAGCTGGGCCTCGTCGAACGGTCACCTTCAGTGTTTGGTCTACGCACACGAGAACGGATGTCCCTGGGGCCCCGATACGTGCAGCAAAGCCGCGATCAAGGGTCATCTGAGGTGTCTGGCTTACGCACGGGAAAATGGATGTCCTTGGGACATTTTTACGAGCACAAACGCGGTGCTCGGAGGTCACATGAACGTAATACAGTACACTCGAGAAAACGGATGCCCTGGGATCGAGGACTTTGACGACTTCGATCCTCGTATTTTTTGGTTAACTCGGTAATATTTTAGATGTATTGACATTATATCATAATAACGCTAAAAATTCTGAATTGCAAAAGCCTAAATTAGCGGTTCCCAAACTATGCTCCTCAATGGTTTCCCAAGGGCTCTGTTCATTATTACATAAAAAACTGTTATTAAAGCAAGTACATGACAAAGCAGTCAAAATTATTAACCATGTTTAGACACGACCTTTGCAGTGTAGACTGCTCAAAATACTATGTGAAGATATGGGAGCTTTAATCTTTATTCAAGTCATAGTTATTACTTATTACACATAGAAGTATGGTGGTTGTCGCGAGTTTGAACATTTATATACCAGATATAAGTCTTGAAGTGTGTATATTATCTACACAAAAATTCATCATTTAAACCTTAAATATTCTGAATAAAATGTAAAATAATTTATTGGTTTTTCAATTATTTTTATCTTTTATGTGAAAAAAATGCATCAACCTCTTTCTTAAAATCAAAATTTTTTTATAAATAATAATATTATTATACAGTCTTGACACTTATTTCATTGTCAATTTTCCTCGAGTGTAAGAAAAAATGACAAGACAATAAACTATGTCTTAACAATTTTAAAGTGCAACTAAGTGCATTTATAACTGAACTGTGCTGATAAGTGATTATAATTTATGAGTTATTTTAATTTTCTGAGTTATAAAGGAATGAATTAGTTAATATTATGTTTAAGTTAAACATAGTAGTTAATTGTTTGTTTGCAAATCAAATCAATAAATAAATAAATCTTTAAAAAAAAAAAGTTAACAATACCTAGTAGTAAAATAATTGATTGTATTATATTTTTAGAATTTTTACTAATTGGATAATAAAGTTATATTTTTGACATTAAAAAATTAATTTTGTTGTCTAAAGAAACCTAATGACGATGGAGGACCGTGGGACAAGTTGGCCATCACCATAACCAAGTATGGGTTGATGCCAAAGAAGAACTTCCCTGAGGCGTTTGGTTGCGAAGCTAGCAATACTCTTAATGTAATACTGCACAGCAAGGTAATATTTCATAACTCATAATTAACAATTTATAGAGGTTTTATGATAAATACATTTTTACATATCAAGCTTTGAGAATTTCCGTTTTTGAAAAATTTCAATTCAGCCAATTGAAGTATTAATCGAGGCAGCTCAAAAATTAATTGTAAATAAAGGTGAACCAGTATGGTATGGATGTAAAGTGGACAAAAGATTTTCCAATAAGCTTGGATTGGAAGATTTGAAAATGTAAGTCTCTTTAAAATCATCTTTAAATCTGTAATATACACATATTTATTTGAAAATATAGTTCATATGTATATTTATAATTTTAGTCATGATTACTATCTAGTATTCGGAACTGAAGTATCAATCCCGATGACTAAAGTTCAACGTATGTTAAATGGTGAATCTGCCATGAAACACGCAATTATACTAACTGGAGTCAATGTAAATGTGAGTAAACCGTTTGAAATATGTGAAAATAATCTTAAACCAATGATTTTTTACATCTGTTTAGAATGGTAATGCAACCAAGTGGCGTGTTGAGAACTTTTGGAGTAAGGAACGCCACGAAAAAGGTTACCTGATGATGACCACAGATTGGTGTAAAGAATTTGTGTTGGAAGTGGTCGTAGACAAGAGTCTTTTATTCGAAGAGGTGTTGTCTGTATTCCAACAAGAGCTCCAAGTACTTCCCATTTGGGATCCAATAGGAACATAAGCCTAATTATTATTTTAATTTTTTTCCATTCTTAACTTATTATGCATGAATATTACTTATTGTATACTATTTAATATTGTATTCTATTACCATATATTATTATGTGCTATTAAAATTAAATTCCACACATGTTTATTTTATTTATGTATAAATTATTACAATTTAGAAATGGCATGCTGATATCTCACTTCAATATTAAATTATTAAGGTTGACACGCACTGCAGCGGTGGCGTTAAAATTATCGTCGGCTTCATTTTGCCTTCCCCACTACCGCTGCAGTGCATTGGCGTGTTTACGGGAGGGGCCGGGTGGGCACTGGACCCCCGGCCGACTGTGCCTCCAATAAAATCATGTCAGGATAAAAAAAATTTGTGTGGTGTGTACCTTGCAGTACCTTATACCCATAGATTTTGATTGAAATTTTTTTAGTTACGCATTTATTAATTTGTGATCACAGATATAAAATTTTAAACAAAGTGATCCAAATCCAAAAGGAAAAACCTGTGGTGAATGGATTAAGTGGCTTACAGTTCATGGTAGAGAGGATTTATTTTCAAATGTATTCAAAGCCTTTAAAATATTCGTAACTATACCAGTTACAAGCTGTTCGTGTGAACGGACATTTTCAGAACTAAGTTTTATAAAAACCAAACTGAGGAGCACTATGAATTAAGATCGCCTGGATGGTTTATTAACCATCAGTATCGAGCAAGAATTAGCAAGAAATATTAACTTTGATGATGTCATTGAGACTTTTAAAGTATTAAAACCATATAATAGACAAATGGATTTATAAACACTTTATTTCAATAAATTATATCAACAATGTATTATGTATCTGTTTTTAATTTAGTTTTAAATATATTTTTATTGTTTTGACAATGGTTATACTTTTTTATCATAATTAAAAAATATTTCTACCATTGTGAATTTTTAATTTTATAACATGAAAAATTAATGTTTCTTCATGTCTAAAAAAAAATAGGTCTTACAATTTAAAAATTTGCTGTGCCCCCTTGGCTACCAAAGTCTGAACACGCCTATGCTGCAGTGTGTGGGAACCTTAAACTATAAGGTATAATAAAGATTATGTTCTGAATTTTGGTCAATAAATTCACTGCCGGGAAGAACAACATTAAAATTAAGGAAAAACAGGAACTTTTAAGCAAAATCATATTATTATGACATTTGAAAAATATAATAATCCTTAGATACAGTTTTCTTAAGCAAATCAAATTTAATTTTTAAGAAAGAGCGTTTGAAGTTTTCTTTCTTGATTTCTCAAGTAGCCATTTCGTTATTTTATTGTTATTCAAAAATGAATAACTGTAAATACCTTAAAGGTTTATTGAATGTTTATATTTTCATTTTCTATACTCCATATATTTTTTTTTAAATATTTTTACTTTTTTTTGAGCTGTTAACGGACATTGTCAGTTTTAAATTATTTTAGATTTTTTTCTATAAACAACAATAAAATTTTATTTGTTTGGTAAAAAAGCTTGAAAATTTAATGATATATTGTAACCTATTGTAACTTGAAAAATATTATAAATACATAATTATAGGAACTATTTCTATTCATAAGCATTTAAAGTTCGAATTTTGACAAGAATTATCAAATTTAATATTTTTTTTTAGTTAAAATTTATAAAATGTTCAACTTTTATATCTAAGGATTGATGCCAATATGCCAATATTATGGAATAAAACAGTGGCATAACCGGGATTTTTTTTGGGGCGGAGGGGCTGTTTAACTTTTGCACATTAAATACGTACTATAAAGATAGCTGAAAAGTGTTAATACATTTTTAGATATTTTAAATACAATTTAATAGACTTTTTGAGCGACTATCGTAGACCAATAAAATAATTTTTAAATTTTCCTAACATTTCCGGTCGGAGCTACAGTCCCCAGCACTACCCATGGCGATTGGCGACGCCGCCAGAATAAAATCATAGAAAATTCAACTTATTACGTTTTCCTCCATGATTTTCACGAGACATGAAAAACAATAATCAATATTACAAACAGTGTTGTTTTCAATTTGTTTAGTATAATTATTAATTACATTGAGTCGTTTTTGTGTAATTCAATGTAAAGCATTATACTTTTTATGACTAAAATATTAAATAATTCGCTTATAGCCATTACAACTGTGTAACTTGTTAAGCATTTCTTCAACAAGTTGTGTGGTGGAGTACTGGAGTGGTGGTGGAGTCTTCGACGTCTCTGTCAAACCTCTCCTAGTCAACAGTCAACACATCAACGTCGTAGACGGCACTCTTGTGCAGTGCATTTGGATCGGAAAGCTTCGTCTTCGGACCCGACGGAGAAATGTACGAACTACCTAGCCTGGTGAAAACGGCGTACTACGCTTGTACGAAGATCAACCGCAAGAGGTACGACGAGCTGAGAACGCCGGACGTCGACCTGCAAGCTTGTTGCAAGTTGCTGTTTGAAATTTTAAAAGTCGACAAAAACCGAATGCGGGGCAACGGTAGGCAGACCATGTTCAGCAGATCGAAATTCCCCAAAAATAAGCGGAGGTTCATATACATATGCGAAAAAGCGGCGTTGCACGGGCACATCGAATGCATGAAACTTGCTCACCGGGTCGGCGTCCCTTGGGACTATATGCCAGGACCGAACCGTACGGCGTGCGACATAGCTGCGCGTTTGGGCAATCTTGAGTGTCTGCGGTACGCTTCGGAGAACGGGTGCCCGTTGGACGCATTTACGTGCAGAGTAGCCGCGGCAGGTGGACATTTGGACTGCCTAGTTTACGCCCGGGAGAACGGCTGCCCGTGGGACAAGGAGACGTGCGAGTTGGCAGCGTTGAATGGTCACCTAGGGTGTTTAGTTTACGCACGACAAAACGGCTGCCCGTGGGACAAGAAGACGTGCGAGTGTGCAGCGTTGAATGGTCACCTAGAGTGTTTAGTTTACGCACGACAGAACGGCTGCCCTTGGGACGCTGAAACGTGCAGCAGCGCCGCGTCCAAAGGTCATCTGGAGTGTCTGGTCTACGCACGGCAAAACGGTTGCCCTTGGGACAGTGGAACGTGCAGCAGCGCCGCGTCTGGTGGTTTCCTGGAGTGTCTGGTTTATGCAAGGGGAAACGGTTGTCCCTGGGACAGGAGAACGTGCTTCAGCGCCGCGTCCGGTGGTTTCCTGGAGTGTCTGGTTTATGCAAAGGAAAACGGCTGTCCCTGGGACGGCAGAACGTGCAGCAGCGCCGCGTCCGGTGGTTTCCTGGAGTGTCTGGTTTATGCAAGGGAAAACGGCTGTCCCTGGGACGAGGACACATGCAACGAAGCTGCGCGGAACGGTCACCTTCAGTGTTTGGTGTACGCCAGGGAAAATGGTTGCCCATGGGATTTCAATACGAAGAGATGGGCCTTGTTGAACGGTCACCTTCAGTGTTTGGTCTACGCACACGAACGTGGATGTCCCTGGGGCCCCGATAATTGTCGCAACGCCGTGATCAAAGGTCACCTTCAGTGTCTGGTCTACGCACGGGAAAACGGGTGCCCCGGGATCGAGGACTTTGCTGACGATGAATGAATTTAGCACATCTATACAAGGAAAACAAAAGACAATATTTGATGCATTTATTATGCATTTGAAGTATTTATTATATTTTAAAAACTAAATTATTATAGTATTTTTTTAAGACTATTTACTTTAAATCCATTCAAAGCTTAGTAATATAATATTAAGAATTAAGATAATATACATTTGTAATACTTGTAACCCAAATAAGAATAATTAACTCAATGATGCAAATTTTTATTTTGAATAACATATTAACCTAAATACTGTCTACACCAAATATTATCAATTATTTTAAAAACATGTTTATACTATTTAATACTAATTATAAGTTATAACTATTATATTATATATACAGATTTCTGAGTTCAATTAAAATGTATATTAATTATTAATACTACTGCATTTGTCAATATTATACAAGAATTATATTCAAAAAAGGCTCTCTCCCTGTTTATATATCATATATTTATAAGTGTTTGTACATTGTACACGTCAACAAAAATGTTTAATGTGAAAAATAAGGTAAATCTGGCGAATCTGATCTGGCTCTCCCCTAACGTAATGATACTTGGCACCGTCCGCTGATTATGCTAGGCATGGCCCTGATTACTATAATAAATGTGTGTGTATAGGTATATATAAAATCTTAAGTTATTATAACGATTACTACTATAAGAATTAAAATATAAAAAATTTTCATTTGTCAGAATTTTCTTCTTCTCCGGTTTTAAAGGCCATTGAGGCCCATTACCACGACACAAATTTGCTTCCACCTGTCTCTATCCTGAGCTACTGCTTCCATATCTTGTGTTCCAAATTCTTTTTTACTTTGTCTATCCATCTTTGTTTTGGTCTGCCTAGTGGCGTCTTTTCCCAAGGGGTTTCCATTTTAATAACGCTTTCATTAGGCTATTTGTGGCCTCCATACGTGGCCAGCCCATGCGATTCTTCTATATTGTAGTACTGCTACTATGTTCGGTTCCTTATATAGTTGTTGTAACTCTATGTTGCTTCTGCTTTCATACTGTTGTGTGATATTATTTCGTTTTGGCCCATATATTCTTCTTAATATTCGTCTTTCAAAGATTGAATAGGTCTTCATCTCCTTTGGTCGTTGGCCATGTTTCACAAGCATATCATAGAACTGGTCTGATAATTACTTTGTATAATAGTATAATTTTTGATTTGATTGATACTTATTTTGATTTAAATATGCTCGTTAACCCATAATAGCATTTGTTCGCTGCAGTAGTTCTTATATTAATTTCTTCGTGATTACGATGTGACAAACTTAACAAAAGGATATGTTGTCACTGGACCCCAGTGTCTTAGCAAATTTTCAGGCTTAAAGAGAACCCACAAATCGATCAAAGATCATAATAATAAATCAGGAAATGGTCCTAGAACATGGATGTATTTTAATACTATGGACTCTGTTATTGGAACAAAACCATATATGAAACCAATTGCTACTGTTTCTTCCACAGGTGTTAAAAATTATTCAACAAATAATGAAACAGTTTCAAATGTTGCTTCTGAAACATTAAGCAGTGAACCGCCGAGAAAAAAATTAAGACAAATACCAACTGTGGATAAAGTTGTTTTAGCTATTCAACAAAATAAAACAATAGATGAAGAAAACAGGGAAAGAAGACATAGGGAAAAAATGGAACAAAAGAGAGAGGCTCTTGATTTATTATCAAGATTGGTTACGGCTCTGGAGAAGTAATATTGATCTCTAGATTATATTGCTTTTCCTATTTATTATGTTGTAAGTTTATTATTTTATACTGACATATAAAGAGATATGTATTTTATTTTATGTTACTTAATACAGTTGTTTTTATATAATATTATTATTTAACTATTTATGTTGATAAATAAATAGCGTATTGATCTCTATATCGCTTTTCCTAATTATTAAGTTTAATATTACTTATAAGTTATAAGTAATAAGTAAACATTGGTATGATTGATTTAAGACTCAAACCAGTAATTAATGTATCTTGGTTCTATAACACAAATTATCTTTTAAAATTAAAATAATAATCAAATTCTGCAAGTTTTACCAACAATCTAACTCATAGGTTAACCTATGTATACCTATGAACAAATATAATGTTACTATTTACTAAACCAAAATTTTAAATTAAATTTTTTTTACAAATAATTGATAGTGATTGTTAATTATTATACTTTATTATTTAACAATTACATGGTGTATTATATAGCACTTATTATAATTACACTAATCATCCATGTTCAAATTATACAATTTTAATATTTAATTGTTCACAAATTCAATCACGCTTTAATAAACCTATACGGTTTGATACACATTTTCTAAATTCAATATTATTTGTTTGTTCTGAAAATATTTGTTGTGGTATCAAGGAATTCGAAAGTTCATCTCCTTGCATCAAACAAATATTATGTAATACACAACATGATAATATAAATGTCGGTATTAAGTCGATGCACTCCATGTCAAGCAGACTTCGAAACCTGCCTTTCAGTAAACCAAATGATCGCTCAATGGCCATCCGAGCTGAAGAGTGACAGAAGTTAAAATTTTTTTGTTTCACAGTCAAATGACCATTGTCACGATACGGTACAAGAAGGTGTTCATTGTTTGCATATGCAGCATCACCGATTATATGGCCATCATTTGGAAATTTTGATGGATCATCTATATAATTATACACTTCAGAAAGCCGAAATACTCTTTGATCGTGTACTGGTCCAACATTTCCAACGAAACAATGTATATAGCGACCCGGGTGATCACAAACAGCCTTTATGAAAGAAAACAAATCATCATACACAATATATAATCAATGATTTACAATAATAATAAAATATAAGATAAAATACTTGTAATTGAATAGAATGATGACCTTTTCTTTGACATAAGTTTCTGGATGTTAGTGTGGTGCACGGATATTTACATGAGTTCCATCAATTGCTCCTATAACACCAGGAAAAGAACTTGTACCTAGATGAAAACCCATTTTTAACAACTGAAGTTCTATCTGTGTCTGGCCAAACAACAAAATGTGGAGCTAAAGTTGCTAAAGAATGGGTGACTCTTCTTACAGCCTTGAGCCTTCAATGCAGATGATCGGCTAACATCAAATTTTTCACAAATTGACCTATAAAATAATAAATAGCAAACCATAACTAATATTTGTTGTCTGTTACCTATATATTAGTCTTTTGAATTTTATAATTATAAACACCAAACCTTGTTTGTATGTTTAGGGGCTGGAAATAAATACATAAAGAGTATCTACCTATAAGAATCTGGAGTGGCCATTTTCCATATAGCAATAAGAAACTGTTTTTTTGGTGGTATAGTCGGGTAGCCAGGCTTGTGCCTAGTCAATTTAGGAGCAATCATTTGAAGTATAAATTCAAATGTCGATGGAAGCATTCTAAAAATGATATAATATGCATTAATATAACACAGACAATTTCATAAATAAGTTAATACTTGTACAGTAATTTAAGTGTGTGACACACAGTCCCTTAGAATTGTGTTGCACAGTCATACTTATGGGATAACTGTAACTTGAAGTTTCTCTTAAAATTAAATGGTGGATAAACCACCTTTAACGGGCCCGTAAACTATGATTGTATTTAATCATTTCAAAATAAAAATAATAATGTAATTGTGTAATTGTGTGTATAAAATATAATAATATACACAAACAGTTTCATATTATCATATTATAGGTAGGTACCCACAAATAATAATTTTAAATTATAACAAAATAACTAAAACCGTTATACTTGGCTTTAATTTGTAATTTCGTCAAAATATGAAATTAAAATGTATATAAAAAACACGAATGAAAATAGAAAATTTCGAAGTTTTGAAAATCTCACTTAAGAGTTGTCTTTAGAAAAAACGATAAGACTTTGGGAAATAAAATTTATGTTAATTGGATTCTCGTAACAAGCTACACAAAATGTATATTTTGGATTTGCCAAAAACTTGAAATTTAAGATTTTCAAAACATCGATAAAGTTCTAGTTGGTTTTCAAAAAATAAAAATGTCAAATATCAACATTTTTGAAAATTTAAAAACTGATCTCAGTGGAGAGTACCCCTTATAATCGCTTACGAGTTGTTTTTATACCAACATTTTAGATTCGGAGCAGAGCGATGAATGTATTGATTTTATAATGAGTTGTGTTTGTTTATTTTTTTAGATTCTGAGTGGAGCGTAAGAATAAATTGATTTCACAATGAAGTGTTTTTTTCTGTCTGTTACCAACCATTCATTTGTGTAGTAAAAATGCTCCAATTTTGAGATCAGTATCTTTTCTGATGGGAAATTGAATCAAGTACTTAAATCTAGTCCAAATCGAAAATTCCAAGTAATTTTAGAAAGCGTCCAGAAAAACGGCATAAAAGTTTAAAAAAAGTGGTAATTTATACACAAAATCAATTTTTGAAAAAAATCGATTTAATTTTTATGGTGTAACTCAAATTAACTGCCGTAGACCATTGGAATTTTCACCAAATATTTATATTAACATTTTTCATCGATGGTAAAATGTTCAAATTTTTTTTGACACTTTTTGAGCTATTTATAGCAATGATCATTTTTAGATAATAATACCTAATACTAAAATGAATTACTTTAATCACAATAATATCATAAAATATGCCTACCTATAGTAATATTATAGGCTGACCACGATCAGAATCGTTTTTCGTATACAAATAATGCAATGATATTATAATATTGTTGAACTCAAATTTAATACCCATCTTTGCAGATTTTGCATACTGACCATGCATACGGGTCCATATCCATAGTATACGTACCTAAAGTGTGACTTGAACTGTCCATCGTCGAACAGAGGTATAACAGTTTCGACATAGTTTTGCATACGAGGTAGGTACCTCTTTTCTATCAGTCACACACACACTGCCAGCTCTAAAATTTGACTATCATCGTCACTTTCCTCAGACGATGAGGAAAATATGATGTCTCCTACTTTTTGTATAGCTAGTACTAGTAAATTGCGTTTATCCATTTTTAAATTAAGTCAACACTTGGAAAAGTTTTAAAAAAAAATCGTAAATTCAAAAACAAAAATTAATCAATTAAAACTGATAACTGGCGTAGTGATCTGATAACGTCGCAACGCTCACGAAACCAATATTCGCGTTTGTCTAGAGCAGGGGTCTCCAAACTTTTTTATTCAAGGGCCACAAAAAAAAAAGGTGGGCAAGTGGGTGTCGCTCTGCTGTACAGTAGGTTACAAGTGGGTCACTGTATAATGGATGGTATTAAATTTGAATTCAATGATATAATATCATTGTATAAGAAAAACGATTCTGAGCGGTGACGGTATGTCAGTCTATGTATAAGACATATTATATACATATCTATGGTATTAAACAAAAAATTGACCTATAATAGGTAGGTACCTATAATAAATTCCAAACTAATCATATCACAATATCCATTAGATACTTACAACGCGTTATACATCAACAAAAACCGTGATACTATCATAGATATATAATAGTACACTTTAGAAGTTTCAAGTACCCACGAATAATATTATTCAATCACAACAAAATAACTAAAATCGTAATTCTTGGTTTAAATATGAAATTTTGTCTAAATTTTAAATTAAAATGTCTGTAAAAAATAAGTGTGTTTATATATTTTTTAGATTTTTTGGTTACAGTATGAATTATTTAAGAGAATCTTTGTTTTAAATTTTCAACTCTTAGTTATAAAAACTGAACATTTTATAATTTTTTAATTCCAACGATTGCTAATTTTCGAGATTTTGATAAATTTTGTCAAAATTCCAACTTTAAATGCTTATAAAAAAAAATCGTGCCTATGTATTTTTAATATTTTTCAACTGATATTGTAACAATATATCAGGAGCCTTGTATTAAATTTTTACACTTTTTGGCCCAACAGATAAAACTTTATTGATATTTATAGAAAAAAAAACTAAAAAAAATTGAAAGTTGTAAATGTCCATAAACAGCTCAAAAAGAGTCAAATTATTTTCAAAATTGTATGGTGTATAGGAAATGCTAATCTAAACATTCAGTGAAATTTTCAAGTATCTACAGTTATTCGTTCTTGAATTACAACAAAATAAGGAAATCGCTACATGAGAAATCGAGTGAAAATCCAATGTTGTAAAAATTTGAATTTCAAACGCTCATAAAAATTTAATTTGACTGTCCGGTAGAGATTTTTTTATTGATAAAGGTAGATAATCTTATAAGGAATCTTGTGTTTCATTTTCAAATCTTAGATTTAAAAAGAAAAATTTTTACGAATTCTTAACTCAAAATAATTTGCTAATTTTCGTGATTTTTCCATATTTTGTCAATTTTTGAACTTTAAATGCTTATAAAAAAAAATTGTGACTAAGGATTTTTAATATTTTTCATCTGCCTTTGAAACAACATATTAGGAGCCTTCTATTAAATTTTCAAGCTTTCGCAACCAACAAATAAAATTTTATTGATATTTTTAGAAAAAAAACTAAAAAAAAATGGAAAATGAAAATGTCCCTAAACAGTTCAAAATAAATCAAAATATTTTGAAAATGTTATCGTGTATAGAAAATGCAAATATTAACAACCAGTGAAAATTTCATGTATATACGTTCATTTGTTTTAGAGTTACACCAATAACCAAAATCGATTTTTTGGAAAACCAATTTTGCGTAAAAATT